CTGCTTCGGTGTGTACATTGTCGGGTGGCCGTTTCTTATTGGGCTCTTGTCGTTCTCGTTTATGCTCGTTGGGTGGTTCGTGTTGGCTAATTACTGCTGTAAGAATTTTTTGGATTGTTGATTTTTGTGTTTTCTGAGGTTCCCATTGTTAGATCTTGCTGAGAAGAGAGCTTTTTTTTTTTGATTACATGTCTATTGAGTTTAAATATCGATTTTTATAATTATTATTTAATAAAAATGCATATATAAATGGCGACCCGAATAATTTTTCAATAAAGTATATATCTGCTAAAAATCATATGATTTTGACCTGATTACATGATATACATATTTATTTAAATCGAAAAAATAGCCATCTTTCTATAATCAATAGCTAGGCATATATAAATCACAAGATTATTAATTTTTTAAACAAATTACAAATTTGGGTGACTAACTATGTTATACAACTAACACTACTTTAATACAAGCTATACTCTTTTCATGTACATAAAAATAAAAAATAAAAAATAAAAAAAAAAAGGATACAAAACTAGAATTTCTGCACAAGAATTGATGATCAAATTCAAACAGTTTCAAATGAATGATCTTTGCATCTCATCAATCTTCAACCTCAGTATTGACTACAAAACCGGGAAAACCGGAAAAGCACCCGAAACATTACTTGAAGGGAAGAGAACGAACGCTAAGATGATATACGTATTACCGAAAACAAATCATTTACGATTTACGAACCATTTACAAACGGTTTACTGTTTCAAGACTAATTACAAAGAAACAAAAAGAAAAATCTTTGTTTAGGTTTATTTTGGTTGTAAAAGAACTCGGCTCATCTAACGTACGTACATCAAATAAGGTAGTGTCATGTTCTTCAAAAGTGATGGATGCCTAACGACGAAAGACCTCCAATCTTCTTTATTAATTCTTCCGTCCTTGTCAGCATCGGCTTCTTCGAAAGTCTGTTTATCAAAGTGTGATGAATGCACAATGAACCTTAAAAAAAATAAAAATCGGAGCTTTATCTCAACAGAAAAGAGACTGTGTGATGTGAATGCACAACGAACCTTGTCGATCATTTGCTCTATCGTATCATCAGGTAATGCCACATCAGATTCCATTCCATTAGTATAGCAATCACCATTTGCTTCACCTTGAGCCAAAAAAATTATAAATTTTGGAGAATAAATGAGTCCACATCTCAATCAGTAATGCACTGGAAGGAAACTGGGTACTTTGTTCATAAATTTAGTCCAACTTAGAGAAACCAATCAAACAAATGAATAGAAGAGCAAAATGGATAATTTAAAGATAAAAGAATAAGGATAAGAAAGATTGGTTATCTTATATATGATGAGAAAGTAGTGTTAATGTTTTTTTACCTCGTTTATTTTCCTTTTTTCTTAATCTATGCGTAGGAACATACAAAGATACTTCTATACTCACTTCTTCACGCTCTATGAACCCGAATTGCCTCAGATCATAGAGCTTGAATGCAACTGCAGAACAAGAGAAAGTGTGTGAGTGTGTGTGTATTAATGGACAAGCTTTTTGTTTTTTTTATACGTTAGTGAAATTGCAAAACAACTGTGAATTCAAAAGGCTAGCAAATCTCTTTCTTTATCACTCACAATCTATCTTATCGTCCATGGAGGCTCTGGGATGGAATACATCGAGTGACTGAACGAACTCCTCCAAACCAATAACACCATTCCTTTTCATATCAAAAAGATCGAAAATCTGTGGGCAAATGCAGCAAAAAAAAAAAAGAATATATATATATTCGAATTAATCTTCAAACAAAACAGTTAGTATTAGGTGCAACTGTGCAAGTGAAGTGCATTAGTACGAATATTCTGTCAACTCAAAAACTATCAACAAATACAGATATGCATGTAAAGTATAGTGTCTGTTTGAAAACGTGAAAACTCAAATTTATTTAATTTTGTAAGAAGAAAAAGAAACTCCATTTAATTAGTCATTGTGGAGACGACATATTATTCGGAAGATGTGATCGAATAGAAAAAAACTAAAAATCTCACACAACATTTCGCTAGTAGAGATTATTGAAATTGACGAAAGCAGCAAGTAGTCACTAGCTGGTCTCAAATTAATCAGTCTTGATTTCACTTATAAAACAGGAAACCACGTAATAAACTGTTGGCATAGACGAAAAGAAAAAACGGACGTTATTTTAATCTCTTTCACATAATATCTGTGCATAAGCAATAAAATCAAAAGTAGGACAGCAAATGCAAGAGTGAATATTGTGTTTACCCTGTCCAAGAACAGGTTCTCACCACATGCTGTACCGAACAGTGCTAGATGAAGCTCCTCCTGCATGTCATCATGAACAAATAGCAACAGTAAAGATTAATAAACGAAATGTCCTACTTTCGTTTATACGTTGTTTCTTCGGCTATGACATTTCAGTTTGAAAGTATGTATAAATGTGTTGAAAAATTATGGTTGTTTGAAGCTAAATTTCATATAAAACTTTTTTTCAGAAAATAAACTAGGGACGATTAGTGCTCCTGAAGTTGTACCTTATCAATTAATCCATCATCAATAATCGAACAGCTTAACGTCTCAAACAGCTCATGCAATGCCTTCACCTCATTCACAGAAACTTCACCAACAACCATAAAAATCAAAACTTATGAAAAAACGGAATCAATCGGAATTTCCTCAGTGCCAATGTAAATTAACATTCGTCGAATTATAAACTTACAATGAGATTCCTGCGAGAGCCGAACAATGTCCCATAGCTCAATTTCCGTCGACGGCCCACTTTCCGGCATTCGAAGCAGCCGGAGACCGCGAAAATCAACGCGTCAATTACGGCTATGATCGGAGAAAACGCCGCGCAGAGCTTCTCCGAGCTGGGCCCCAGCTTCTCGGCAGAAACAATTGACAAACACAAAAAAAAAGGGTCAGATTTAACGTTAAAATTCGCTGCGCAGCTATGAAGAATGTGACGACAAATCAGTGAAGTTATGAAGAGCAAGGTAAATGAATTACCAGTGAGCTGTTCGTTGAACCCATTCTTCCTGCTTTTCACGCACTGTTATTTTTTGGTCACTCAATTTTTTTTTATTTTTTTTTTTTTTGTTGTTTGCTTCGAGGAGTTTGTAAATAAGAGGATATTATATAGGGAAATTTGTCTTTTTTTTTATTTATTTATTTTTAATTTGTATTTTCTAACTATTAGGTCTGCCACAAAAAAAAAAAAATAATAATAATAATAATCCATATTATACGAAAAAATGTGTAAATGAGTCGACTTCGAACTCGAGCTTCAGCTCATGCATCAATTTTAGGAAATCAAATTATAGAAATTAAATAAATTTTGTAATCAATAGACAATGACTATTATGAATTAACCTGTCGTGTCGTCTCACTACCAACGTAGATCCACCCGTCATATTCCTTTAACAAAATATGTATTTATATTAGAAAATATTGTATTTTTGTCTATGTTGTATTTATATAAAAAATTATAAATGTATAAATAAAATATGTACAATATTTTATCATATCTCATGTGCAAGGAAAATTAACTCATAGTGGTGCCATGAAGGGATTGAGAATATATCACTTTGATAATCAAATGTTTAGGTATTACCCTTTTGTTTACGTTCAACACTCAATAATAACATTTAGGGCAACTTTTATTGGCACATAATATGAATGGGGGACACATGCCAGGTGCCTAAATATTACTGATTAGCTAAAAATAAGGTACAAACAGTCAAGAAAAGACATTTTCTTATGAAAATAGTTTACACAAGAAACATGTGATGATAGACTGTCAAGGTTAGCCGCAGCAGAAGGCCTCATTCGCGACTCACAAGGGTGATGGGTCAGTGGGTTCATGCACAATATTGGCTTTTGTTTAATAATCGGGGCAGAATTTTGGGGCATATATGATGGGTTACAACTCGCTTGAGAGCTTCAGGGCCAGAAAATCTTAGTCGAGGTTGATAATTCTAGTATTGTTCATATGGCGTTGAACAACGAAGAGCCATCAGGGATTCATCGAGGCTTGCTTTTAGGTATAAGGGCTTTCTTGAGGCGCAATTAGGAAGTGGTGATCCGCAATACTTATAGGGAAATCAATTATGCGGCTGATCATTTAGTGTCACAAGCAGCGTTGGATTCGTCTAGTTACTTCAAGCTATATAATCCGCCGAATGGAGTTAATGTTGGTTGGAGCATGATTTAGCGGGGATTGCTTATCCTCGTAGCGTAGTCTGTAGTTTCGACCTTTGTTGAGCTTTGCCTGCTTTCTTGTAAAAAAAAAAAAAATAATAAGAAACATGTGATTTCACTTCTTTATTTCTATTCAAATCAATTGTCACTTGGCAATTAGCCCACGTTTCTCGCGCGCCTAATAATTTTTTTAATTTATGTACTTTGTAAACTTCAAATACTTCAGTGGGAAGTTATAAAGCTTAATTTGTATAGAAGAAAAGGGAAATAAAAGATTTTATAAACTGAAATTAATTACATTGACAGTTAGATTGAAGTGGATTCAGTTCAGCTAATAGACATGAGTGGGCCGTTGGGCCTGTGTATGAACGCCAGTGGACACAAATAACCGCTATATGTTGGGCCACAACATTGCATATTGGGGAATTTTTAGGTTTATCACAAGAATTTAAAATATTTGCATTTGTACGAAGGTGTAGATTTTATTTGCCTTCCTACCAAATGCATTATATTTATTAGTGAATAATCAAATTTCAATTACCAAATAAAACATATGAACGTGTCCCTTAAATTGCACATGAATGGGGATATCAGATTTGAACTAAAAAAGCAAAAATATATGGTAAGTTTATATACCTTATTAATTAGGAGATTGTTTCAATACAAAATAGAAAGATAAGAAATTTGAATCTCAAACAACGTCATCTTCTAAATACATATAAATACATAATCAAGATTATATACAGAAGATATACTTATTTATATACAGACGATATACATAAAATACACAACATATATTTATATAAGATAAATTGATCTTGTCATTATATACAAAATATGTACAGAAAATATACAAAATATATACAAAAAACACATTAGACCACAAAATTTAAATTTCAGCTCGATTTATATACAGA